TCTGCTGTTTGTATATTTCCCCTTTTTATTCTATATTTTGTTCATATTTGTAAATATTTATATCACTGTGTTTCACTGAAAGCAATGCATAATTCAGTGGGGGAAGGAAGATATTGCTATTTGGAACCCATTACTATTATCTTCTGATCATCCTGAAGATGTCCTGTTAGAGCACATCTATGTAGGGACATAGCTTAGCACTAGTATCTGCCTTGGCCTCCTTTTCATGTTGTCCTAACAAGTACAAAATGCGCCGGAATACCTGGGAGAAGAAAATAGCAGCTTGACATAGCTGCCTGTCCCTTTGCTGTTGCACCCTTACATCACAGGGGAAGTGGGGTGGGGGGAACTGTTTCAGGAGTGAACAGACAAAGCACAGCATGCAAAGACCTTCTTCTAAAGTAGTTCAAGAAGTTTCTTTGTCATGTTTCAGGAAAGAAAAGCATTGGTTGCCCTGAGAGTTTGACCCTGTCAGCCAGATAGATCTGCAACAAGCAGATAAAGAAGCTGCTTTCTACCATCCCATCTCCTGCATGTCTGGGAAATCATGAAACAAGGACAGGGGAAAAAACATAACTTCTCCATTTGCCACACTCCAATTAAGCTTTTCAGGTCTTATCAATAGATAAATAGACCTTTTAGCAGCACTGTATCTTGGATCTTTCAGATCTGGGCTGTTTGCTGGTAAACAAGTAGCAATCTTAGTACCACAGTCCAAAAAAGGAGAGACGATCCATCTTGTTAGAGCACTAAGGCTAAGAATGCAGCTTATTCCCTCAGTGATGGAAGGCATAATTACAGAGCTCTTCAGGAACCAGAGATCATGTTCTCTTACAATATATGGATTAAGACCACCTTTTGCAGTCTGATGCTTTCCAGATTGTTGGAGCTAAAATTCCCAGAATTCCCAGTTTATATAACCACATTGCCTGGGAATTATGATTCCAATGTATTTTTAGGGCAGCAGACTGGGAAGATGGATTAGGAAATTCTCGGCAGCAGCAATTTTTGACATTGATTTTAAACATTCCAGCTAAATTCAACCACCACAAACAGCTATAAAGTAGCTGGTCAATAGACCTCCTATTTCTGCTGCCTTAAGATTTAAAACAGAGGGCATTACCCACTGCATTTTCAGAACTAATACTTGATAGACTGCACTTAGCTTGGTGGGGAATATATTGCAAATGGCTGTTGTAACTTGTTTATATAGGAAAGGAGAGGACAATGTATGGTCTTCCACTTGTGTTGGACTACTAAGCCATGTTACCAAGGGTTCATTGGAATTCAACATCTGGAGAACACATGTTGTCCACCTTTGGTATAGATGACCTTTAGTCATAGTTATTTTGATTAGTTTAACCAATGTATTTATTAAGAACCTTTGGAGTTCCAGTCAAAATGGCACATTTCAGCAACTCCCGTAATTTTGTTATCCTGGTAATTATTTAATTCCCATCACTGGGGTTAAAAACAGATCATTATGATTTTCTTCTCCTTTCCCAAGACAACAGCTGCAGAGTCTGAGAAAGTTTATAAGGTTTGTCCTTATAAAGATGGGGTGTAGAAATAACATTAAAATTACCACTAACTTGTTACATAACAAATTGGATGTGACTGAAAGTAGAATACTCAGAAGATTGTGAGCAGTCTGTGCTATCACATCTATAGATTATTTAATGAAGTCTAATGAAACTAGGGATGTGCAAAGCATGCCATTCCAGGGACAGAACATTCTGGGGAACACCAGAATATTCTGTTTTCTTCCAGACCCTTCAAACTTGCATGGAACATGGAAAGTCCAGCACCTGGAAGTAAATGTACTAGATTTACTTTCATAAAACTGCTGGACCATCCCTGATCTGATAAATTAGAAGGATTCAGGTGTGATGCAATTAGTTTTCAGTAATAACTCTTACTCATTGTGATTGCAGTTTTAGATTGTATTCTGGCATCTTTGTTTACCTCGATACAAAGACTTTTTGGGAGATTTTTTTTTCAAATGGTAATTTTAAATGTATCCCTATTTTGACACAAATGAAACAAGATCTAGAGATGTGATCTAGTATACCTAAGTAACTGGAATAAAATCAATATGTTTGAAATGAACTTTTAAATTGATTTATATTTTAAGAGAATTATAATACTTTTAAAAGATAGCACAATAACTACTTTCCAAGAATTTTATCACACTTGCTGAAAGTTTTTTATATAAGAAAAACCAGAGATTCAGTAGTTAATTAAACATTAAAAAGTTAACAAATAAGTTATTGTGTAGACAATTTGGTTTACAAACCACTCCATTTTCCTTTTAAGTTTACAACAATTCTTATTTTATTTTAACCAGGTACTTAAAAACTTACCTTAGATTTTTTTTAACAATCCAGGGCCTAAAGCTCTTTAAAATACTGCATAAAGACACCTTTTTTAAAAAAGTTGAGGTAAGATAACATTTCCAGATTCATTTCTATTATTTAATCAAAGATGCCTTTTTCTAAGATACCTGGTTTTGACAAGGTTATTATTTTACAGAGACTGGCTCAAAATTCCAATAATTTATAAGAAAACACATACTCATCCAAACATTAATCACTACTTTATCCATGGACTATGTAATTATTGAATTTTAGTAGCATGTAAAACTTGAGAATCAGGTCAGCAATATATCTTGCAATAATCATAGTGTCAAATAAAGATTTCAAATCCACTGTATTCTGCAACTTCTCTTTAAAAGCATGTGTGAGCAATATTAGTATTTTAGAAAATGAAGTTCCTTAGGACACTAAGCATTTCAATCATTAGCATAGTAAACAAAAGTTACAAGAGCAAAAAATAAAAATCAGAATTACTCTCAACTCTTCTTCCTATTTGTGCTCTTTTTCCTGAGTGCTCATCAATATTATTTTGGCAAACTCCACATAAAATACAGTGTAATGACATCCTACATGCAATTTTCTGACCCAAAGGGAACCTCACCAAAATATTTAATCTTCTTTAAAAGTTCAAGATATGAAGACTGCAATATATGGATACTGAATGAAGTAGCCAAACTATAATTTTACTTAACATTTTGTTAAAATGTTTGCTACAGAAATGCCTGCATGTTAACTGTTCTAATTTTGCAAAATCCCACTTTTAAAATTCCAGTTTTAAAATGTTTTAATACCTATTGACACATAATATTTCTCCTAAACATTCAGAGACAGAATCAAACTAAAATGTACAAAGTTTTTTTTTTTTAAATCTGCCCACTACAATAAAAGGCACTGCATGGTTTAAAGTGTGCAAACATCTTGAAAGAAAGGGTGCATACAAAATCAGTTCTTTTTTCAGTTTTTCCTTAACTTTTTTTATAATATACTACGAAGTATTGTTTTGAATTATATTTGTAGCCTCCTTTTTCAAAAAGCAGAATCCTTTCAGTCCACAGAATTGCAGATCTCTTTTATTTTCTGGTTGAAGTCTTCGGGTTGATCTGCATATACATAATGACCTGCACCAAGGATAGCCTGGGAAAGGAAGGGAGGGAAAAAAATAAATTTAATGTTCAAACATCAATGTTTTATAATGTTATTAATATTTACAAAAAACTATAATGAAATTTGTGTTTCTAGAATAATACACTATGAACGGAATTCCCTACTTAAAAAAGTTCATACTTTTCTTTTTCTCTCAGATTTTTTAAAAATAGAGTTTAAGCCTGCAGGCAAGGAAGCATTACAGTAATTCTATTTTAGTATCATGCCTAAAGGAGTGATAGGCAACACTATATCCTTGCTTGTATAGAGCAATGTGCATGTGTTTGGGGTAAACTGAGTTTCAGTTGCCTTTGTGGTACCCTGGCCAAAATATGCCAAAAGGTGACCTATATTGTGTCCTTACCATTTGCATGAAATGCTGCTCAGGACTAAGACACTAACCTACTCTACTCTTTCGTTATCTTACTAAAAGGTGTTATACGAAAGCCTTGAGTGACCAAAGCCACGGTAGGCAGCAGGATCAACATTTATAGGTCCATCTGCTAAGACTAGATTTACATTTCCTTTTCTTTTCTCTTATCTCCTGTCTTTAATCTCTTCCACTCACTATTTTTTCTGGGTTTTGCAAAATGGGATAGTGTGATGTATATGGATGTATATTTAACAAAACAAAACAAAACAAAAAAAACCAGGGATCTAACCAAGAAATTAACCTGGATTTTATTCATTTTAAGCATGAATTAGTTAACTTGCATTACTCATCATTATGTCTTATAAATTTCAAAGGTATCCATGCAAAAAGATAACTTTACACTTGGTTTCATTTTCAAACATTATGACATATTTACCAGAAAAGCTAAACAGAGTAATGTTACTGAAAAATCTGGATTGAGCCCTTGTATATTAGAAATTCAATACATCTAAATCTGGAGGGACAGCCAGTGTAGTGGATAAGGCATCAGGCTAGAAACCAGAGACCATGAGTTCTAGTCCTGCCTTAGGCATAAAGCCAGCTAGGTGACCTTGGGCCAGTCACTCTTTCTCAGCCGTGGGAAGCAGGCAATGGCAAACCACTTCCAAAAACCCTTGCCAAGAAAACTGCAGGGACTAGTCCAGGGAGTCACCAGCTGTCAACATTGACTTGAAAGCACCAAAAAAAAAAAAAAATCTGGAGGAGATTTTCTTCAGAAACTGTGTACGAAACTGAAGTTTTAGTGTACGAATAATTCTCCTATCCATTTCCAACCTTCCCCTCATCTGTTCATTGTGGAGAAGTGAGTAAGATCTACTAGTATTATGGTGGTTCCAGTTCTGTAGCGAAATGAATGCATGCGTACACCAATTCAATTTATACTGAGCTGCTTTGTCTTTCATATTTATGCATAGATGACCAGGAAGAAAAAATATATGTCCAAAACATATTTTAGAAGATTGATAGAATTGTCATTTGAACACATTTAGGTTTCAGTAACATTTAAAGAAAAGATAGCTGTTACTAACTGCCAAATGTTCAAAGAAGATAAATTAGAGTGATCCACCTTGCAACAGAAATCAAATAATGACTAGAATGTCCCACTTACTATTGTTTTCACATATGAATTTGGTCGCAGGGACTGGATGGTGGCTCCAGAATTGCCATCTATACATGACCTTGCTCCATAAATCACAGTGACAGGAATGTCTTGATGCATATGGGCAATTCTTTGCAGCATTGGCCTTTTCGCCCATCCATAGGGAACTGTCATGTTCTTGAAAGCAGTTTCACCGCTTAAAGACATCAATGAAAAAAATAAGATGTATTTCCTAGATACTATATACCTGGCCTTGTAAATTAGTATCCTTTGTTAACATACCACCACCTAATATTGCTATTCTTTTATTTTTTAAAAAAAAACTTTGTCTAGCATTTGTCAACTCTTAAGTATGTTTAATACAATCACAGATAATTTAGCATAATTATCTTCATCCTCTGTGGTTCTATGGAAAGTCAGTGGCACCAGTCTGATAGAGCTTGTGCCACACATGACTTCAGGAACAGGGATACCTGTCTAAAAACTACACTGGCCTTTGTGAATGTTGAAAGCAGAATGAGAGAATGAAAGGAGAAAATATTAAACTGTTTTTGAAATTGATATTTTCTTAGCAAGACATATCTGATTTCAAAGGAACCTCATACTTGTCAGCTCTCTACTCTTCAGGTAACAGCTTAAGATGGATTTGCTAATTAATCTGTCATCTTCACAAACAGCTTATTAAACAAAAGTGAAGGCTGAAGATTTATGATTTCACATGTTAAGAAAACGCCATGCAAGAAAATGATTTAGTACAGAATTTACTTGTCCTTTTTGAAAATACTCCACTCCATTCTTCTAATAACCAGCATGGTCAGTTCTTCATGGTTTTTTTAAAAGTGATTTTCCACCCACAGGTATTTCTTTTTCTTTGCAGACAGTAGTTCTGCAAAAGATAACACTTCCTATCTTTGCAGGATGATGGATACCTTTTTAATTATTTAAAGATCCATGCTTTAGAGAATAATTACATTAATATAAAGACTTCTAAAATCTTATGCTTACCTTGGTGATTGCACATTACAATGGTAGATATATTCGGTGACTGTATCATCATCAAACATGGATGAATACTTTCTCTTAAAGTCTGGCCTTATACGTTGTACCAGGCTCAATCCTATCATAAATCAAAAGTTAAGAATTTGATACTGCTAATTGCAGACATAGGATGGAAATTTCAAAATGTGCAGAAAATAACAATTCTGTCTTTTCAAGCACTGAAATAGATTACCTGATACTATCATTCATTATCAGTCATTCATATAGGAATTAGAGAAACTATTATTTTATTTAAATACAATATAACTGACAAATAACAACAAATGCCTAGTGTTCTAACCATCCTGATTTGACAAAGCCACATTTTCTTCTATCTTGACAAACCAAGTCCTAAACAGCATAAACAAAATAAATAATACACTATTATATTAGAAATCCAAGATATTATGACTTGCTAAAAGAATTATTATACCTGTAAACATTTTCTGCTATCAGGTATTTTATTCTATTTGGTCCCTAAGCATCCAACCAATTTATAAACTTTGGACATCAGAAAAAAATTCCATCTGAAGTATAGAGTAACACCGCAGAAGGAAGAGAAAGTTAATACTACGCAGGCCTTTTTTGCCAGCACATATATCCTTGCTAATAAACATCTAAAGCAATTGGTCCCCAAAATTACTGGACTGCACCTGGCAGAAAATTTATATTCTCCTACAGAAGCCTGCTGTCTTTCTGTGTTGGGTGCAGAGGAAGATTGAAGCGCACTGTTCTTCCTCAACCAGCTTGCTCAACGGCATAAATGGGATTCCACATTCTAACCTTACCCAGGTTAGTACTTAAATACATGGATGACCTCAAGTTCAAGCTATTGCATTTTCAAAATTGATGTCTTCGGCAGGACCATCAAAATATGCTAGGGTAGCACTCACCAAAAGGTCCGGCCAGTCTGAGACCAGCCAATGGATTAAATGGACTCAAAACAGCTCCAAGTGCTTTGATCCATATTGGAATAGGCCTCTCGTGCTCGGCACTGGAAGGCCTTTCTGGAAAACCCCATGGCTCCACTAATAGAAGATGCTTTACTCTGAAGGGGTAAAAGTTAAGAGATTTTGTCAGTAAGGAAATAGTTTAAACAGTGCAAATCATATTTCAGGATCAGTTTTAACTACTATGTATCTGCCCAGAAAATTGATTTAGATGTAGAATAAGAGCTCATCCATCTATGTACATCTTCTGCTTCAAAGTTCACTTAGAGAGTTATCAACTACTTCAAACTGGATATAAAATGGGGAATGCATGTTGGCCCCATCCCTTCTCTATCCCCGCAATCATCTGAAGGAGAGGTGCCCTCATATTTAATCAGTATAACCATTCAGATGATCTGAGATTTTGCTTTATCAGAATCTTGAATTGTTTAATGGGTGTACTCAAGTCCAAATAAAAATGGAGAAAGACACAGCCTAATTCTTTACCCAGTCAGTTGAACACCTATAGAGGGTTTAGTCTGGTGACAGCAGCATTAATGATGAAGGGGAGATATTTGGCCCATTTCTTTTGCTCTTTTTCCAAGTTTGAGGTAGGGTTTAAATATGTGAAACAGATACACTGAATCCCATGGAGGCCTATTTCACAACTTTTGCAAGGAAAAAATTGGGGGAAACCATGCCAGCATGAAGTGGAGTTTTTCTATTGGATTTAATATTGTAATCTGGGAATAATTTGGAGGTTGGGGGAAGTACATGCTGGGCAAAGATTACCCATCTATTTAAACCATGGTTCATGTTAATCACAGCCTTCAATAGAGATGAAATGGCAAGTTGTGGCCAACCAAATTTGGAATCAGAAATACCCAAAATGCTTCTCCTGAGTATACTGGATACAGAAGAGAGTATGAGGAGAGAGAAGACATGGGCCATTTGCACAGAGCTATGGTTTACCTTTATACCCAAAATGTTCAATATTAGCAGGTTCATTCATCAGTCAAACCATACCAACTATATTGCATTTAGTTCTGGACAAATTTTGGGAAGGCCATTGATCACTTTGAGCAAGTCCAGTGGAGAACAATCAAGATGACAAGGGATTTGGAAGCAAAAAAAAAAGAGGCACTGGAGAAAACATGATGATGGGGAGGTTGGGTAGCTACCTGTTGAAGATGCTGCAGCAGTGGACCAAAAGTGGGCAGGGTTGGACTAGATGATCTCCTTCTTTTAATCCTCACATTCATGATCATGTTAAACCATACACTGGTTTGTTCTTCCAACTTTGTTTGCTATGTAAACTTAGATATTATAGCTTGCAAACTATGCTTTATGTGACCACATAAAGCTTTGGGTGAACACAGGTTATTAACTCTGCTGGCATTATTCCTCTCCAATGTAGTGGAGTTATAAGGGCAAAAGTTTCCTTTGCAGCCATATGATGTGAAAGGTATTATTAGCTACTAAAACTTAATCTCTGTATTTTCATTGTAGCTGCATAACAATCAAGTCATACATCAGTATCACTCATTTAAAAAACAGTCCCAGGAAATTATTCACATTCTAAGATATCTCAATAGCTATCTAAGATCTATAGTCTGCAGCATTTCAGATGTTGGACTACAATTCCCATGGTATCTTACCACTGATCATTCTGGCTAGGACTGATGAATACTGAAGTTCAATAATATCTAGGGAGTTCCACTTTGCTCATCCTTGAAATAAAACATTATTTTTGTTTTTCTTTAGATTCAGGACAATTCATTTATTTCTCTTAACCTCACTCACTCTGCCTCAAAGGGTTCACAGAGTTCAACAGTCTTGCTTGTCATCATCACCCTCACAAAAAGTGAAAGGAGGAGCACAGCTCTCTACCACCTAGTTGTGCTTAAGGTAAGTTCTAACTCTGAGATTATAGAAATAGAACAAACTTCTATCTCCAGCTGCAAAATGGACATGACCTTGCTTCTGCATTCACTGGGTTCTGAATTGTCCTGTGCAGATGATGAGTAAGCCACCATGCTCTGCCTCTTACTTTCAGCTTGGAGGAAGCTGGTACGAGGCCAGCTCTCTGTTCAATATTCTTGTGTCTTCTCTTACATTTCTGGGCTGAGAAGTGGAAGGCATAAGCATCCAAGATTAGAACACCATGTTAACTTTAGAGGTTGTGGGAGGACACTTTTCCCTGACCTCATATTGTATTTCAGAAATACAGAAAGCTATTAAGAACAAGACCCTGAGTAAGGAGAGGTGCTGGCAACACCATTTGCTTGGTCAGTAAGCCAGCAACATCTAGCTATTGGCTTTCTTTAATTAACAATGCAACTAATTTTACAAGTATCTGTCCCTCATACTCCAATCCTTCAGGATTATCAGCATTTAAACTCTTAAATAGTTGAAACAGATGCATTCATTTTCTTAAAATATGATGGAAATAAAGCATTTTATCACTTTTCAGTTTAATTTCAAAATAATTGCTTAGGTACTAACATCAGCATTACCAGAAGATGGAACTTCAATCACACCCAGTAATTCTATTCTTGTTTTTTAAATAATAATACTACAAATTAATGTAAAATTACTTCTGTAGTTCAGTGAAAGAATGTATGATTCACATACAAAAGTTCTGAAATTCAACTTCTTGCATCTCTGGGATAAATTCTGTCTTAAACTCCTGGGTATCTATAGCTGATAAATTATGGGTACTACTGTGCAAGATGAATCAATGAAGGCACCTTTCTACAAAGATTTTTGAGTTATAATTTAACATCAATCATGATAGCTAAACTCACAGAACATAAACTGCCATTAACTAAAAATGAAACTGAACACTTTTAAATTCCTCTAATGCAAACTCTCTCCATAGAGTTAGTAGCTTTTCCCTGAAGTATACCATTTTTTCATTACTCATGATTTGTAGTAATTATCTGCCCTTTTTTCCCCATTTTTCCTTTCCCCCCCCAAGGCTTTTCTTCTGTAGTTATTCTGAAATCAAGTTCATTAATATGACACATGAGAAAACAGTATTTTGTGGTCCCTTAAATGTCCTCCATGCATTAACATATTGTAGATATGTAGAAAGATTTATACCAAAAATAAGCAATGGCCAGTACCATTACATATACTGTAAGTAAGCAATGGTTGAGCAAACAAACTGGCTACATGATACTACAGGAGGCACTGAGTTCCTATAGCAGGCCAGTCAACCTGCATTCAAAACTGAAAGTAAACTGGGTTATTTGAATACAACTCAGAAAAGATGTTCTATGCAAGTTCCATCAGAAGATAACATGGAATGTAAGTGTAATAAAGTCTGTATTCTATATTTAAAATTATTAAACAAGTTTTCCAATTGTACTTGAAGCCAAGCAGAGTTTAACCATATAGCTCCAGATAGCACACAGACTGTATCAAGTTATGCTGCCAACCTATCACCTTATAGAAATAATTTCCCTTTATCTATTGTTTTCATATACCTTGATGGGTATTTTAGTGAGTAAGCAGCTGCCAGGAAGCCACCCAAGTTGTGTCCAAGTAAAATCATTCTATCCAATCCTATTTTCCGTCTCCATTCTTCAACAGATTCTACAAATTGATTTTCTGCCACTTCTGCATCAGTGTCAAACTGTGGTCTACTACTGCGACCAAATCCCAAGAGATCGAATGCATACACAGTCCTATTTTCACAAAGATCTTCAAAGTTGAGAGCCCAAAGTCCAACACCACCTCCAAACCCATGGAGAAGAACAAGTGGAGTTTTCTGTGAAAGGTTCTGAGAGAACGTAAGCGTCCATATTTTATTTCCATTGGATATGAATACATATTGTTTACTGTAGGTACTTGTAATACCTGAAGGAAGAAATACAAGCCTCATTATTCAGTCTATACTGAAACAATTCTACAAACGCAATGAATACATTTTGAGATCAAATCCACTGAGAGAGCCCTTACTTTCACCATTATACCTTGTAACACAATCCAGAAGAGCTTGTGAAAAAAGAAAGCAAAGCTTCATTATATGGATTGTTCACTTACATTACCCCAATCTTCACCTGTGCAATTTGTATGAACCTTCCAACCTCTCAAATGCAACAAATTATGGTCAGGCTATATTCTATTTTCTTTAATATACTACCTGCTCAATTAAAATCTTATATTCTTTTCAGAGTGGGACCGGATGCTCAACTGCACGAAAGCCTATTTCTTAATTATTTTTATTCTTCTCATTTCTTTCTCCATTAAAAAAGGGAGGTGGGGGAGAGTCATAAAGCCCCCACCTTGATACTCTTCCGAAAAGCCCTGAAGACATGGTTTTGCCAGCGGGCCTGGAGGTCCCAGGTTGATACGGAGCTCATCGAGTGGTTTGTTTAAATATATTGTTGTCGCCAGGGGGTGGGGGTGTAGCGGGTTTGTATTTGGGGTTTTATTTCTGTAAGCAGCCTGGAGTCACTGTGAGTGAGTTGGGCAGCCATATAAATTGCTTAAATGATAAATAAGTATTGAGATGTGTGCCATTGGAGATTTCTTACCACAAAGTGCTTACATTTCAAAATTTTCTCTTCAGCATCTTTAAGGTGTACAAGTGATGTGGGACACCATGCAGGGAGCCAACTAGATAGCCATCCTGACCTAGATAGAGTACAAATATAAGAATAAGAATTAGAATAATTTAAATAATATGCACTAATTATAATTATTCAGTGATCAAGTGAATAGGTTTCTTTGATTAGACATTGGAGATAATAATAACCGGAGATGCAGTAATCTTGCATTCAATTATATCCAATCCAATCAACAAAATATTAAATATTTGTCATGCTGTGAAAAACTGGTGGCGCTCAAAATCACTGTAGTCATCCAAACTTCAATCAGTCAGTGTAATTTATTTGTTAAATAAATAAATGTAACCTTGTTACAGAAATAAAGAGATGCTATGAATGTATTTCCTGAGAAAAAGTACAGATCTGATTACTGCAAAATTTAGGAAATACTCACTTTGAAATGAGATTTAAACAAACAACCACAAATAGTGCTCAAGATTCATACATATTTTTTCAGATAGCCCCTCAAATTAACCAGAACACTGGATTCATTCTCAGTTCCATCTCTTCTAAAAGGAGGAGAGGGAAAGATGACAGGATAGGGGAAAGAGAAGGTTTCAAAAATGTTATGATATTTTGATAATTACTGTGATAATTTCAGAGGGGGGGAGGAATCCAAATTAAAATATAGTGCATAAGTGCCAGAAAGCATTGCTGACCCCTGCTCTTAAACACGCAGACACTTTTTTTTTTTTTTTACAATCAATCAAATAGCCTTAGAGGTGCTAAGATGAAAACCATGAACAATACATCCAAGGCAACTTAAATTCTTCATCCAAATGTGAAGGCCTGCTGCTGAGGTAGCAATACTTTTTAAAGTAATCAGATAAACATCTTATTCTAATCAAATAACTTTTAGGTTTCAAATCTCATTTCTCAAACATGTTCCTTTTTGAAAATCTTTTTAATTTTTTTTTAATTTTAAAATTTTAAATCGTTTTTAAAAAATCTTTAAAAAAATCACTTTTTAACCAGATCCACCTACCAATTAAATCACTGGGACAAAAAAAGGCTGAATTTCTTAGATTTTCTTATTTTCTATCTCCTGTAACTTTCTCTCCACAAAAGTTAGAAGTATATTGTGTTACTCTTTTACATAGAAAAATATGTTGATTAAAAACAATGGCAATTTTACAATTTTGTACATAGGTTTGAGGGCTGTTTAAAACATAAATCTAGCTAATGAGATTACCAAGGGAACCCTTTTCATCTTATATTTCATGTTTGTAACAGGCATACAGAAATAGGGAGGAGACATTTTATTCCTATTTCTCTATTTAAAGTTAAGATTCCTGAATCTTTTTTTTTTTTTAAAGTCACAAATGTGACAAACTTAACACCAACTTAAGAGAACAAGCTAGCAGAATTGTTACAACCAAATAATGGCATAATTTTTAAAGATATTTTTTTCTCCCCATCTCCAGGTACTGTGAACAAAGGATTTTCAAAGTTTGCTTTTCAGTGATCTTTACTGTATTATCCATAATTGCTTCTATTGCTTGTAAGTCACTTTAGGAGGGCTGCTTTCTTGAAAGGTAGAATACAAATAATGTCTGCACTTTAAATGGCTTCCTTTAAGAACCAGACTACAATCAACTCCTAGCCATGTTCAAGATAGTGACATATTGCCTCTATTATCAGAGATAGTAAGCCTTTAAATACAAGCTGCAGAGCATCATTAAAAAAGAGAACAATTACCCTTAGGTTCTCCTTATGGGCTGGTAATTGCACTTGTGAATCAAGCATAAACTTGGTGCAAATCTTATAGGTCAGTTTCTTTTTTTCATATTAGTTAAACCCATTTTATTTAGGTATCATGCTAAAAAATAAATAAAAAATGGTATTCAAATTTTGTGTTCTTCCTAATATAATTACCTAATCTATTTATTTTTGCTACATTTTTTTCTTCTGGCACGAAATCTGCCAGCTATTTTTTAAAAAGAAAATGAATGTTATTCATGTAAACACATACATGCATATGGCATATAAGATTTGATATGACAAAGTAAATGAAAAAAGGGTGACCTTGTAACAGTAGTTTGCAGTTTGAAAATTATTAGATGGATTAAGCAAATAAAAAATATATGTCACACAGAACCCAACAGCGGTACTGAGTCCCACACCCACAGCCAGAATTTCAGCTACTAAAGACAGGCAGTCTGGTTTTCATCTTGAACATCAAACTTATGCACATGCTATATATACCTTTTTGGTCCAAAATTTTTTGAAGTGGGACATTGTGCCATGAAGCTGCTTGTTTATTTCTGTGAAGATCCCATTAGTAAAGCTTGTGTAACATATTGTAATCATGACATGCTCAGTAGTCTAGCACTAACCATGGGTTTGATACCAAATGCCATTTAAACCTGTTCCTATCTATGCTTTGCTAGCCACTTACTGTATTATTAACATTGCCATACTCAACCCTGAGACTTCTGTGGTTTGTTAATAAACAATTGCCTTGAAGAAAAAAAAAGTAGCCAAATTGCACTGGAGGCATAATAGAGAAGTTGGAAGTTCAGCCTTCCCTTACAAATATTCCCCCCACCCGTCATCCCTTATATGGGGTGTGGGTAGAAAAAAAGAAGACTGGTAGCTAGAGTAGCCCCATGTTGTGGCCACTCTAGCCTATTTCCCCATACAGAGACCAGGACTAATATAATCCCGATCTGGGTTTAGATAACACTAGACAGCCTGTGGCCTGTTGGGTTCACGTTTCAGAGATATTTCCTTACCTAAACATAGAAACAGAATGACCACGGGAGGGCAAAAAAGCAGTGGGAGCAGGAGCAACTTCTGATTTCCTGCCAGTTTCCCAACTGGTTTTCCCTGTGGGAAGCTGACAGGGAGCATCAGAAAACTCCCTCCCTCCCTCCTTCCTTCCCTCTCCTTCCCCCTTCCTTTCGCCCTTAAAAACAATGGCAACTTTACAATTTTGTACATAGGCTTGAGGGCTCTTTAAAGCATAAATCTAGTTGTAATAGAACTGAACTATAGTTAGAACAGCCTATTTTTAAATATAATTGTTTAGAAAGCATTTTAAAACTATGAGAGGGATTAAAATTATCACTAGAGAAGTGCATAGACAAAAGGAAAACATACTGTTCAGGCCCACATATGCAACCTTAATATAATAGGAGAAACCTATCAAGGGACTGGGTGAATCATATACATCCAGTAAGCGCTTTTAAAATGATCAGAAGCCGCCTATAAATACCTGAAATTTACCCTTTTTTGACCAACTGCCAGATCAGCCCATCATATCACCCCATTTCAACAGACCTTGGAGACTGGAGAATTAACCTATGTATAGTATATCTTAAGCCATTTTGAAGACCTCTTTTAAACAAGGTCAGAATGTATTAATGTAGTTTCTGTAAAGTCATCATGCAATCTCCATGAAGCACCAGTAGACAACGCAAAGGAAAGTTCACTTTCTATTCCAGTATCAATAATATGAGAAGCATTGTAATTTTATTCATTAATAATGTTTGATTGAGATTCCAAATTTACTGTTGTAATGCTAACTTTTCAAAATGGGAAAAATAAAACCAGTAAGGTCCTGTTTTATCCATATACAGTAGTGTCCAAAAGTTTTAGGCAGGTGTGAAAAAATGCTGTAAAGTAAGAATGCTTTCAAAAATA